CCCCCCCGCACATTTTTGGGGGCTCTCCAGGGATGCTCCTTAGCCTTTGCCTCGCTGCTGCTCCCTGTTTTCCTGAAAATACCCGCATTTCTGCATCCACGTGCGCTCTGCAACCCCCCTCCCATAAATCATCCTCCAAAGACCCCCTGAGCAAATCCTCCTCCTCTTTCCTGGAGAGATGAGCCCCGTGCACGGTGGGCGGCTGGCACTCACCTTGCTGCTGAGGGGGCCGGGGGGGGGTTGGCGTTTGGCTTTCCCTCCGGATAATTTCCAGACATTCTGCTTCTTGCTCTTGGAAATAGAGGACAACGGAGCAGTCGGGATGTGTTGCTCGCACCTTGGGAGGGGGGAGAGGACAGACAGTAGGGTGCCGGGCATTAAAAGACCTGAGCAGGCAGGGTACCGGCCAATATTCACCATTTCTGCTGCAGCCAGCAGATTGCCTATCTACGTAACCGTGCTTTTGGACCCTGACATTTCCTTAGCTTTCTACTTGCCTTGTAAACACAATAAAGAATCCCCGCAATTATTTCTAATTCCCTCCGAAAGCGTGCGATGCTTAAGGGCACCGCTCCGCCAGGACGCACGTGCCATGCAGAGGAGCTGAGCTTAAACACGGAGAGGCCGACCCCATCAGCGGGGCAGGGGCGAGCACGTTCAAAGCCTGAGCAAGGAAACCATGTAATTAGAGATTAAAAAACCCCACTTATTCAGGCATGTCTAATCCTTCCTTTGCCGGCTGGGTTTTGCTCACGTGGGTTTTGCTCACGTCCAGGCTTGTGTGTTTTAGTTGGAGGCATCGGCAACGACTGTTGCAGTTCACCCTTCTGTTCCCTGTCTGTCTGGGCAGATGCTGGAAAATGGCCATACCGACCTCCTGAGAGTTTTGGGGTTTGCTGGCAGAAAGTGCTGAGACACCAAGGAGCATGCCCCAGCCCCAGAGCTCCCAAAAATGCAGTGGCTCAGCACCCTGGGAGACCCCACTTTTGGGGTTTGCCCCCCTTGGCTTTCAGCTGGAGAGCTGGGAGATGGAGGCTGAGCTGAGATCAGCCCATGAATTTTTCATGCCCGTTCCCCGAGCATCCAGGCCCATGGGGGGATGCGGCGGGAGCTGCAGCATCCAGATACAGGACTTGTCTGGGGCAGGGGTTTTGGGCCAAGATATGGGATTGGGTTGCTGATAGTTGTAGGTGTGTGGACAGAGATATAAAAGCTGGAGAAGTAGAGGGGTAAGGGTGGGCAAGTGGACCCAAGGACTGGAGGGTTAAAGCATCGCTTGGCTGAGCCCTGTCCTTCCCTGCCCCGTTGTGGTTGTGGCCACCGTGCAGCCACTCCTCTAGAGTCCCTTCACCTCCCCCAG